CTCTGCCCTGGAGCTCCTCGAGTTCCTATCCGCCGCCGCGGGGAAGCACGCGGGCTTGGAGAGGGAAGAGGGAGGAGCAGCGAGAGGAGGGGCAGGAGGAGGACGGGGCCAGAGGAGGAGGGGGGAGGGAGGAAGTGAGGGAGCTAGGGAGGGACGGAGGAGGAGGAGGAAGTGAGGAGGATGACGACGAGGAAGACGAGAAGGACGAGAAGGAGGACAAGGAGGAAGAGGAGAAGGGCGACGACGACGACGACGACGACGACGACGACGACAAGGAGCAACAGGACCAGGAGAAGAGAGCGGACGAGGGCTCGGAGAAGGGGGCTGGAGGAGAGGGTCGGAGGAGGGGGTCGGAGGAGGGGGTCGGAGGAGGGGGTCGGAGGAGGGAGAGGCCGAGGCGGGGAGCACGAGGAGCCGCCCTGCTGGGTCGAGCGAGCGGGGCGGGCCCCGCCCGCGCCCACCGCCCCCTCCCCACGGCGGCAGGGACCAGCGGCGGCACCGCGCGAGGGCCCAGAGGAGCGCGCCCCCGCCCCGGCGAAGGGGAGGCGCCCGCGCGCGGGTCCCGCTCCCGGCGGCTCGGCAGAGGGGGGGGGGAGAGAGCGCGCAGGCCGCGCACGGGCGGGGAGCGGAGCCGCAGGAAAAGTCCCCGGGGCTGCGCGGCGGCGAGGCCGCCCCTCTCCCCCGCTCTCCGGGCGGCCACGACGAGCGCGGCGAGGACGGAGCAGGCGCCGCGGGGGCCTCGGCAGGGACTTCGCAGCGCAGCAGGCAAACTCCACCCACTCGACATCGAGGGGTGGCCTCAGGCTCTTCCAGTGGGTCGGCTCCAGAGCCAGGGCGTCCCACCAACCAGCGTGAGCATGCGCCGCGCCGAGGCAGCACGGCCACGCTCGCGTCGCCCGCTCTCGCGCAGCCGCGCGGCCATTGCCGCTCTCAAGCGATTCGGCGAGCAAAGCACGCCCGCGCCCCGGCGGGAACGCCTCCGCGAAGGGTCAAGTCTCCCGCCTGCGCGCTACCCCGCCCCCAACGACCTGGCGATGAAAAAGATGCGCTGCGCCAAATGAAGGGCAACGAGAAGGGGGGGCTGGCATAGGGGAGGATGCATCGACCTGAAATCGGCGATACATCGCCGATGGATCGGCGATGGGCCCCCGACAGCGGAACCGCACCTTCCTGGGCAGGGTGGGCCATCGGGCCCTTGTCGGCGATCAATGAGCGAGATAGGGTCGATGTATCAAACCTATCCCATCCCCCCCCTCGGATCGTTGCCCCTGACCACAGCAGGGGCCCCACTTTCCCCTGCGCGGCGACAAGGGCGCGGGCTGCATCTTCGCCCGCTCGCGCAACGATCCCGCTGTCGACAAAAACTGGCGAACAGCCAGGACCGCCACGGAAAGACGGGGGGATCCCGATTCCTGCGCCTCTTCCTTTGCGTGACCCTGGGCCCCTTGAGCATCGTCGGTGGTGTGGAATCAAAAGCAGCAGCGAGGAATGGGGCCTCCCCGCTGCAGCGTCCCGGCGGAGATCCTCGAGCAGCGCCCGACCGCCGCGAGCAGGACCTCGGGCCGCGCCCGGGCCACCGCAGCAAAGGGAGCGCGGCGCCAAGGCGAGAGCAACACTTCGCCTCTCTCTCCGCGCGCGCGGTGCGCGCCGCGCCACGTCCCGCCGACGCACTGCGCAGCGTCGACGGCAACACGTCGACCTGTGTCTTGTGTTTGAAGGGTTGGGCGGAGCGGCCAGGAATGACGGGCTGCCGGCCGGCTAGGTGTCAGAATGGGGGGGGGGCACCCCAGCAAGGAACAAGCACAAGGAGAAGAGGAGGAGGGAGAGGCGAGGAAGAGGACGATGCGGGCAGGGAAACAAGAGGAAGTCCCTGAGATCCGACGTTGCGGAAAAAAATGCCATCGTGAAGAATCACGACCGGGGCCCCGGACCCTGCCTTTTTGCTACATGTTTCAAGCCCGATCGATATGTGATGGTCCCAGGGCCCCGCAGTGGAAAATTATCCCGGCAAAGCAACCAAACAGCGATGTGTAGGAGCATAGCTGGAAGCATTCCCCTTCAGATTCAGATGAGAATCCAGTTGTAGAATTCTGCTGTTCTCGCAGTCGTAGTCGCATTCGCGATGACAGTCGCAGTGGCAACGGCAGTCGCAGTCTCAGCCTCAGCCTGCTTCAGCCTCAGCATCAGCCTGCCTCAGCCTCCGCCTGCCTCAGCCTCAGCCTCAGCCTGCTTCAGCCTCAGCATCAGTCTGCCTTCAGCCTCGGCCTCGGCCTCAGCCTGCCTCAGCCTCACCCTACATCAGCCTCAGCCTCAGCCTCAGCCTGCCTCAGCATCAGCCTGCCTCAGCCTCAGCCTCAGCCTGCCTCAGCCTCAGCCTCAGCCTGCTTCAGCCTCAGCCTCAGTCTGCCTTCAGCCTCGGCCTCGGCCTCAGCCTCAGCCTGCCTCAGCCTCAGCTCCTGAGCCTCAGCCTCAGCCTCAGCCTGCCTCAACATCAGCCTGCCTCAGCCTCAGCCTCAGCCTGCCTCAGCCTCAGCCTCAGCCTGCTTCATCCTCAGCCTCAGTCTGCCTTCAGCCTCGGCCTCAGCCTCAGCCTGCCTCAGCCTCAGCCTGCCTCAGCAGCCTCAGCCTCAGCCTCAGCCTCAGCCTGCCTCCGCATCAGCCTGCCTCAGCCTCAGCCTCAGCCTGCCTCAGCCTCAGCCTCAGCCTGCCTCAGCCTCAGCATCAGCCTCAGCCTCAGCCTGCTTCAGCCTCAGCCTCAGTCTGCCTTCAGCCTCGGCCTCAGCCTCAGCCTCAGCCTCAGCCTGCATCAGCCTCAGCCTCAGCCTCAGCCTGCCTCAGCATCAGCCTGCCTCAGCCTCAGCCTCAGCCTGCCTCAGCCTCAGCCTCAGCCTGCTTCAGCCTCAGCCTCAGTCTGCCTTCAGCCTCGGCCTCAGCCTCAGCCTGCCTCAGCCTCAGCCTGCATCAGCCTCAGCCTCAGCCTCAGCCTGCCTCAGCATCAGCCTGCTTCAGCCTCAGCCTCAGCCTGCCTCAGCCTCAGCCTCAGTCTGCTTCAGCCTCAGCCTCAGTCTGCCTTCAGCCTCGGCCTCAGCCTCAGCCTGCCTCAGCCTCAGCCTGCCTCGGCCGCAGCATCAGCCTGCCTCAGCATTCAAAATGTGGCCCGGGAATGGAGTTCTGGGAACTCGAAGAACACGAAGTGGCCTACAGTTGGCTCCGGGCATTCAAAATCATGCCCAGGAATGAGTTCTGGGAACTTGAAGAGCACGAAGTGGCCTACAGTTGGCTCCGGGCATCCAAAATGTCCAGGAATGGAGTTCGGGAACTTGGGCCTCAAGGCATTCAAATTCATGCCCAGGAATGGAGTTCTGGGAACACGAAGAACGTGGCCTACAGTTGGCTCCGGGCATCCAAAATGTGGCCCGGGAATGGAGTTCTGGGAAGTCGAAGAGCACGAAGTGGCCTACAGTTGGCTCCGGGCATTCAGAATGTGGCCCGGGAATGGAGTTCTGGGAGGTCGAAGAGCACGAAGTGTGTGACTGTTTGCGAAAAACGAATTCGGACACGAGTTCGGACACAGCTCCCCGGATGCCGCCCAGACCCCCCTGTGGAGTCATCTGCTGCTCTCTTTTGACCCCACTAGAAACCTATCAGCAAAAGCTGTTAGGTAAAAATGCAAGGCCCTGATCTCGGCAGGAGTGGGCCGGGCAAGGAGCCACTTGTGGGCGGGGCGCCACGGCCGCGCCCTTCTCAGAGCGGTCGCCCTGCATCTAAGAAACTCTCTCGCGGCTCGCGGGGACAGAGTGCTGAAGCCTCCTCCTGCTCTTGCTCCTGCTCCACCTGCCGTTGTCGCTGCAGGCTGTTCTGTCGACCGGGTGGCGTCCCAATCCTACTAAGCCTCCTGCTCCTCCTCCTCCTCCTCCTCCTCCTCCTCCTCCTCCTCCTCCTCCTCCTCCTCGTCCATTCCTTGTCCTTAGGAATAACTTCTCCCTCCGACGGCGTCGGACGGGCCAAAATCGTCCCAAGACGGCCAAAGAGGCCGCCAAGAAACCCACGCACGAATCCCACGCAGGCGCTTCCAAAAAGGCAGCGGGCGCCAGTGATTCGCCGTAGGCGTCTTCGATAACGCCAACGTCTCAATTTGCGCTGATGATTCCTATCCGCCCCCACATGATGTTCCCAGATGCGCCAAGGCAGTGCCGAGACGCACCGACGCGACTCTGATGTATCCCATTATGATAGAGAGGGGGCCGGCGGCAGGGGACGAGGCCCTAACGAATAACTCCTCCCTGTCGCACCCCCAGACGTGTTGTCAGCAGGGCGTAAAGGGCTTTTCACCTGAGACTCCCGCATCCCTGATGATACTGAAGCTTGAAATTTGCAACAGCTTCACGGGTGGAGGGCGGGTCGTTTTCAAAATGTGGCTCTGGCCTACGCGTCGCGCAGAGTCGTCTTAAAAGTTAGCAAGTGCTTCACGGATGGAGGGCGGGCCATTTTCAAAATGTGGTTCCCTCCTTGGCACCGCGCGCACTCGTTTTAAATGTGTTCGACAGTTTCACGGATGTAAGGCGTGTCGCTTTCAAGTGTGGCTCTCGCCTGAGCGTCCCGCACACTTGTCTTAAACATTAAGAACAGCTTTGCGGGTGGAGGGCGGGCCGTTTTCAAAATGCGGCTCTTGCCTTGGCCCTGAGCGTCGTCAAAGCTTGCAAGGGCGTCACGAATGGAGGACGGGTCGCTTTCGAAATGCGGTTCTCGCGCCGCTCGCATTCGTCTTGAACAATTGAAGCAGTTTCACGGATGGACGGCGGGTCGCTTTCAAACTGCAGCTCTCGCCTCAGCGCAACGCAATCGTCTTGACACCCGACCTCTCTCCCCCCAGCTTCCTGACACCCACAAGTCGGCGAGGGCCTACCTAGGAAACCGCCGATGAACGCCACAGCTCGACAGAGGGATGGCGGGAGGAGGAGAGAAGGAAGAGGGAGGCGGCAGGAGGGAGGAGGGAGGGTGAGGGAGGAGGAAGGAGGAGGAATGAGGGGGAGGGGAGGGAAAAGGGAGGGGGAGAGGGAGGAAGGGGCAGGGAGGAGGGAGGAGTAAGAATGAGGAATAAGGAGGAGGGCGAGGGAGTCCCACTCCCTCTCCCCCCCCCCCACGGCGGGCCCGAGGCGGCCGCTGAGCTCCTGCTTGAGCCCCTGCGCGCGCTGCCCCAGCTCCTGTGGGCGCGCGGCGCGCGCCGTGCGTGGTGCGCCGGCCGTCCAACGTGGGCGACGCCAGCGGCAGGGGTCCGAGAAGGGCGGGGGGAACGACGGTGAGGAAGAGGAGGAGGAGGAGGAGGAGGAGAAGGAGGAGGAAGCGGAGGAGGAGGACGACGACGACGAGGACGAGGACGACGAGAAGGGAAAGATGTGGATGAGGGGGAGGACGAGGACGAGGATGGGGGCGAGGACGCGAGCAAGGAGGAGGAGGAGGACGAGGAGGACCAGTGTAAACACAAGAGTCATCAACGATGTTGGACTTGACCTTCCCTCCAAGCTCCCAATTCATAAGCCCCTACAACGGTTCATTTCCATTGACGAAACTGCCTCATTGGAAGCCGACCGTTTGATGACCCTGAAACATGCCAAAACATTGTTTTGGGCATTTCAACACCACGGATGAACCTGACTGCTGCGTCTTGACGATCCAGAATCGTGCCAGAAAGCCATTTTGGGGATTCCAACACCGCGATAACTGTTGCCCCCGCATAATCCTGAATCCTACCAAAACACCATTTCCGGTACGCTGACCATGGGAATCCGTGAAGCTCTTGCAAATATTGAAAACGAATGTGCGCGGCACGAAGGCGAAAGCCACATTTTGAAAAAGAACCGCCCTCAATCCGTGAAACTTCTGCAACTGCTTAAAACGATTGCGCGCGGCACTGAAGTGAGAACCACATTTTAAAACCCGCCCTCAATCCCTGAAACTCTTGCAAATGTTTCAAGCGATTGTGCGCGGCCGTAAAGCGAGAGCCACATTTTGGAAACCACCCGCCCTGAATTTGCGGAACTATTGCAAATGTTTAAAACGAGTGCGCGCGGCGCTAAAGCGAGAGCCACATTTTGAAAACCACCCGCCCTCTATCTGCGAAACTCTGGCATATGTTTAAGAAGATTGTGCGCGGCGCTGAGGCGAGAGCTGCATGTTGAAAACCACCCGTCCTCAATCCGTGAAACTCTTGCAACTGTTTCAAACAATTGCGCGCGGCGCAAAACAAGTGCACGCGGCACTAAGGCGAGAGCAACGTTTTAAAAACGACCTGCCAATCCGTGAAACTCTTGCGAAATTCTACAACGATGCACGGCGCTAGGGCGAGAGCCACATTTTGAAAACCACCCGCCCTCCATCCGTGAAACTGTTGCCACTGCTTAAGCTTCAGAATCATAAACGGTGAGGAAATCTCAGGCGAAACGCCCGGCCCGCCCTAAAAACTGGCCTCGGGGTGCGACAGGGAGAAATTATTGATAAGGAACAGGAATAGAAAAGGAGAACGAGGAGGAGGAGGAGGAGGAGGAGCACAGCGTAGCAGTTGAGTTCGTCAGCAGATCGCGCCCAACGTGTAGAGAGAGAAGCGGCGTGCATTGTGTCGTCCTGGCCAAAGTGCCACAGGCCGTCGCACGCACAAACTGGTCCCAGCCCTGTACCTGGTGGCGCGGGCCTGCGCTGGCTCTCACGCGGCTTGCCTGGGGGGGGAGCCGCCAGCCGCGGCCGCTCTGTGCCATTCTCTCATGAGCTGTGCCCAGCACTGTAGCTGAAGTGTCGCCAGGTGCACGACCTTGGGCTCCAGCTTTGCCACCCGCTTCTCGCAGAATAACGCCTGAGCCGCCTGCCGCCCTTCGCCCCCGCACGCCTTGATCCCAGCGCTGTAGCTGTTGGCATCGGGCTTGCGCTTCGCCGTCAACCTCTCGGGCTGGCGACTGGGGTTGCTGCCACTGCTCCGCCCTCTCGCACGCACAAACTGGCCCCAGCCCTGTAGCCGATGACGCTGGCCCGCCTGGGGGGGGGTCGCCAGCCGCAGCCGCTCTCGGCCCGCACTCTTGCAGCCACGAACCTGTGGCCAGCGGTGCTGATCCTGGCGACTGCACGTGCGCCTGGTCTCAGCAAAGTATATGATGACGTTGGGCTCCACGCTTCTTTCTGACGGCTCCTGAGCACAGTGCCACTTCGATGTTCGCGCTGCACAACAGCAGAACACCCTCGCGCGCACCGTGCAGGGAGGGGGGGGGCGCTTGGGCGCGAAAGTGTTGGAAGGGAAAGGGGAGGAGAAGGGAGGACAAGGAGGAGAGGGAGGGGCAAGAGGGGGAGGCGGGCGAAGGGAGAGGGCAAGGGTGAGAAGAGGGAGGAGGGGGAGGAGGAGAAGGTGGAGGAGGAGAGGGAGGGGGAGGACAACGACGAAGGAGGAGGCTGTTTTATGTCATCCCGCCGCCTTTCTCCTGCCTGATTGCTTCTCTCTTACCCCCGCACAAATCGCTGCTTTAGTGCCTGGTCGTTTGTTCCCCGCCGACCGACCAAGGAGACGAAGAAGGAGGAGGAAGAGGAGGAGCAGGAAGAGTGGCGGCATCGTGAAGGGGGAGGAGGAGGAAGAAGAAGAAGAAAAGGAGGAGAAAGAGGAGGAGAGCAGCCAGGGAGCAAGTCAACTACTCTCCAAACAGGCGTCTCCTAGCCCCGCGCCTCCGTCCCGCGGTCGAGAACAGCAGACTCCCAGGACGCGGGGGGGGGGAGAGCCCGCGGCTTTTTCTGCTCATGATTTCGGCGAGCAGGGGCTGCCCGGCAACCGACTTCCCAACAAGTGGCGTGCCAGCGCGTGTGCAGTGCCCACTCCGCGCAGCCGCGAACGTCGAGGCCAGCACCACTCCGAGGAGCAGCGGCCCGCAGCGCCCAGCACAGGCTGGGCAGCGAGCCGCTGTCCCCCTCGCAGTCGGCCGCCGCGGGGCAGCTGTCCGCCGGCGGCCAGGCCGGCCTCGCTGGCAATATGCAGACCTTGTGGCCGACCAAGGCCCAGTTTATCATCGACATCCTCTCCTCCTCCTCCTCCTCCTCTTCCTCCTCCTCCTCCTTCTCCTCCTGCTCTTCTTATTCGTCCTCCTCCTCCTCCTCTTCTTATTCGTCCTCTTCTTCCTCCTCCTCCTCCTCCTCCTCCTCCTCTTCCTCCTCCTCCCCCTCCTCCTCCTCCCCCTCCTCCTCCTCCCCCTCCTCCTCCTCCTCCTCCTCCTCCTCCTCATCATCATCATCATCATCAGCAGCAGCAGCATCAGCATCAGCATCGTCATCAGCAGCATCATCAGCATCATCATCATCGTCCTCGTCCTCGTCATCATCCTCATCATCCTCATCCTCCTCATCCTCCTCCCTCCTCATCAGCATCCTCATCAGCATCGACATCATCATCATCATCATCATCATCAGCAGCATCATCATCACCATCATCATCATCATCATCATCATCATCATCATCATCATCGTCATCATCTTCATAGTCACCATCAATCATCATCATCATCATCATCATCATCATCATCATCATCATCATCATCCGCAGTATCAGCATCATTATACTAATCATCCACATCATCATCTTCACCATCATCTTCATCATCATCCTCATCCTCATTATCATTACCATCATCACCATCATCATCATCATCCTGCTCCTCTTCGTCCTCACTATCATCCTCGTCCTCCTCCGCCTCCTCATCATCATCATAATCATCATCATCATCATCATCATCCTCATCCTCATCCTCCTCATCATTATCATGTTCGAATCATCATCATCATCATCATCATCGTCATCAGCATCAGCAGCATCATCACCACCATCATCATCATCATCATCAGCATCATCACCATCATTAGCAGCATCATGACCATCGACATCATCATCATCATCATCATCATCATCCGCATCCTCATAATCATCATCAGCATCAGCATCGTCAGCAGCAGCAGCCACAGCAGCAGAAGCAGCCGCATCAGCATCAGCATCATCATCAACAGCAGCAGCAGCCGCATCATCACCATCGCCATCATCACCACTACCATCATCGTCATGATACGCATCATCATCAGCAGCAGCATCGTCAGCATCAATCATCATTACCATTATCAGCATCCTCATCATCATCATCATCATCATCAACACCAGCATGATCATCATCAGTACATAACTAGCAGCAGCATCATCAGCATCGTCGTCTTCATCAGCATCATCGGCATCACCATCATCACCATCATCACCATCCGCATCCTTGAAATCATCATCGGCTACATACCCGTCACAAGCATCGTCATCATAAGCAGCAGCAGCCGCAGCGCCATGATCATCGGCATCAGCATCCTCATCACCATCATCATAAGCAGCAGCAGCCGCAGCAACAAAAGCAGACGCATCAGCATCGTCATTAATATCATCATCAGCAGCGTCATCACAATGATCAGCATCACCATCATCGTCATACTCGAATAATCATCGTCATCGTCATCAGCAGCACCATTATCATCATTACCATCGTTGTCATCGCCATCATCATTCGCATCAGCATCAGCATCATAATCATTAGTTTCATCCTGATTATCACTACCGTCATCACCATCACCATCACAATAATCATGAGCATCGTCATCACCATCACCACCATCATCACCACCACCATCATCATCACCATCATCATCATAATCATCATCACCATCATCACCATCACCATCATCATCATCATCATCATCATCATCATCATCATCATCATCATCATCATCATCATCATCATCATCATCCGCATCCTCATCGTCATCCTCATCGGCAACATCCTCGTCATAATCATCGTCATCATAGGCAGCAGCAGCATGATCATCGGCATCAGCATCCTCATCATCAGCAGCATCATTACCATCGTCAGCATCGTCAGCAGCATAAGCATCAGCATCAGCATCATACCCGAATCATCACTATCGTCATCATCAGCAGCACCATGATCATCATTACCATCGTTGTCATAGCCATGATCATTCGCATCAGCATCAGCATCATAATCATCAGTTTTATCCTCATCACCACCATCATCATCACCATCAGCATCATAATAATCATGAGCATCGTCATCACCATCATCACCACCGTCATCATCATCACCACCACCATCATCATCACCATCATCATCATCATCATCATCATCATCATCATCATCCACATCCTCATCGTCATTCTCATCGGCAACATCCTCCTCATAATCATCGTTATCATAGGCAGCAGCAACAGCATAATCATCGACATGAACATCCTCATCATCATCATCATCAGCATCATTACCATCGTCAGCATCGTCAGCAGCATAAGCATGAGCATCAGCATCATAATCAGAATTATCCTCATCGCGCTGGGGAGCGTCAGGGAGCGCAGGTGGAAGCCCTGGGGGTCTGGCGCAAGCAAATCATCGGCATCCATAGCTCCTAATCCCATGAGCGGACACCAGCTGAAATGGGTCCGCAGACCAGCCCCCGCCAGGGCGTCCAGGACTCTTGTTGCAGTTCGGCCACCACTCTGCGCTCAGCACTCCCCCACGGCCCTGCACGCTGCAGGGGTCGGAGAACCCCTGGCTGGCCTGAATGGAGCGGACGGAGCCGGGCTTGACTAGTGGATCTAACGTAATCCGAACGACAGAGTATCAAATTCCAGCGGAACGCTGATGGAGTGGCAGGCTTGGGTCTCACAGGGAAGCTTCCACCCAGCGTTCCGAAACTGCGCAACAGAGTCCGAAAGTAATCGCGCTTTAAACGGGCACTCTGACAATCCGCGGGCGCCAGGATGTGCTGGACGGTCAGGCGCCGGTCAAAGCGAGCGGTGGGCTGCACCGGAGGCTCGGGGGCAAAGAAAAAGGCACGGAAGCGAAAGGGAAAAAAGAATGCGAGAAGAGGAAGACTGAGCCCGATCAGACCGTGAAGGCCGGCGAGGGAGTGAGAGTGTGGGTGGACGGGCACAGAAGATCCGATGTTGAGCAGGGACCGACCGCCCTGGTATTCCTACAGGCCTACCACGAAATTATCTTAGAAGAAGGAAATGTTCTAAGAACCGAAACAAGGTTCTTATATTGTGGAACCGATGCATTAAAAGAAGACAGTATCAGCGAGAAATGTTCTAAAAACATTTCGTGCAAACCAGAAAAGGTTCTTAGAACATTATCTGGCGGGCCTACGTACAGGCAAACCAGGACGGTTCGCCACTGCTTGACTACAAAACTGGCCAACATGTCCTCAGGGGTCGCAAAGATAGCTGCGGCGGAGGCGGGGTGATGGCAGCGTCGGAGGGCCCTCCAGGATCGCGCGCTTGTCGGCCTCGATCTGCACCTGATCCTGAAGGGCCGAGCTGTCGAGGCGGCAGGAGATGCACAGGAGAAGAAGAACAATCGTGAGGATCGGCGGCGACTCCTCCTCCTCCTCCTCGTCATCCTCCTCCTCCTCCTCCTCCTCCTCCTCCTCCTCCTCCTCCTCCTCATCCTCATCCTCCTTCTTTCCTCCTCCTCCTCCTCCTACTCCTCCTCCAGTTCCTCCGCCTCCTCCTCCTCCTCCGCCACCTGCTCCTCCTCCTCCTCCTCCTCCTCCTCCTCCTCCTCCTCCTCAGCCGTTCTGGCGCAGGTTTGCGCTTGCTGCAGCTGGATTCAGAACGGCGACGCTGAAGCGAGCCTTTGGCTTGTTCACGATATCGCCTCCGACTGGAGGCAGAGGAGTAACCAACGACCAAGGCGCCGCCATGGCGCCGTCCCCGCCTCCTCCCAATAAGAACCCCAGGCGGGAGGGATAGGGTTGATCCGGAACCGGAACCGGAACCGGAACCGGAACCAGAGCAGCGCGAGCTGCCTGAGGGGGGAGGGGTGGTCCGGAGCCGGAACTGGAACCGGAACCGGACGCATGGAGAGGGATGATGAGGGATCATCTCTAACCGGAACCGGAACCGGAACCGGAACCGGAAACGGAGCAGCGCGCGCTGCCTGAGGGGGGGGGGGTGATCC